GGGTCAGGGGGGTGGGTCCGGCTCTTCTCAGAGGTGCCCAGTGACAGGACGAGGGGCAGGGGCCATGAACTGGAAACAGGAGGTTCAGCCTGACCATGAGGACACCCTTCTTCCCTGTGAGGGTGACAGAGCCCTGAGCAGGCTGCCCGGAGAGGTGGGGAGTCTCTTTCCCGGGATACGCCCCAAAGCCCCCGGACTTGTTCCTGTGGGATCTGCTCTGGGGGATCCTGCTCTGGCAGGGGGTTGGGCGAGATGGTCTCAGCAGGTCCCTTCCGACCCCACCACCCTGTGACTGTGTGAAAGAGGCCACCACACGTGTGACAGATGCCGTTCTCTGCATGAGCAGCAGCGTGTCGGGGCAGGAGACCTAAGAGGTGCACTTCCCCTCTCCCATTTCCCTTCCAGGCTTCTCCAAAAGCTCCTAACATCAAGAGCTTTCTCTTCTCACTCCACTTGTTCCCCGGAGTTTTAAAGGATACATTATCCCTCATTTCATTCCTGCATACAACGACCCTGGACAGGCTCAAGAGCAAAGATGGCACCGTGCTGACAAGCGCGCAGCCGCGGCACACACCCACACGTGTACACACACCCACACGTGTCCACACACCCACACGTGTACACACACCCAACAGATCCCCAGGTTGGAGCAGCTGTTCTTTGGGCACCTCCGATTGCCGCGGCACCACAGCGCACAGCCCTGAATACCAAGCGAGAACTCTCTCAATGCCTTTGTAGTCAATTACTGAGGTACCTTCCAACCAGCACCCGAAAGCTGCAAAGCACCCGCTGGGAAGTACAGCGTCACTTCTTCTGGATGCACTGGAGCTGTAGAAGTCAGCTGACACAGGAAATACCTGTGAACATGTCCAGGAGATTTCAATGCTTCCTAAGCTTCCAGCGAGGCGAGCGTGGCCTCGGGCTCAGAAAGCTGTAGCTGTGTTTCCCGATCACAGTTTTGTCGTACATGGGGGTGTACACGCAAGGGACAAATTCTTCACATCAGCAAGTGGCTCAGCCTCGTACTCTTAATAAACGGCCCCACTTCCACAGAGAAAGGGGCCCAGATATGGAGGCTGTTTCTGACATACTCTGTGAAAGAGGTTCAATTCCCACATTTGAGGTATCCAATATGTTTTAGCTGAAATATCCCAAAAATCCCATTTGTGATACTATGAAAACAAAAACACAACGTAAGCCAAGAACATAACCACCAAGAACGGAAGAGACCCAGCGCTGCAGCTACCGACATAGTCTTGTCACACCAGGCTGCCTTTTTCCAGCAACCCAGTCACAACTGATTCACCCTCGGAGACGAGGAGGAAAGGGCGAAAGAACAGGTTAACGCTGTGGTTATGTACAAGAAGCTCCTCCAAAATAAGGAGGTGCTGCAGGGGGGGCACTCACCAGAAACACAGCGAGTGGCTGCACCACAAACCGAGCTGAACATAAGCCCTTTGCCAACGCAGAGCTTGGCCCTGAAGATCCCAGGCAGTAAAACTGGGACCTTTCGTTCGATGCCACAGAGAAGAGGCGCCACGGAAAGGTGACAGTGCGAGCGGCTCGGTAACACAACCTGCGGCAGCTTTTTAAACAAATGAGAAAAACCACAACCCAAACTTGTCCCAGACCACAGAAAGACGATCAGCAACAGGAAACCCAAGATGACCCAAGCTTGGAAGAAGTTCCAGGTTAGAGACAGCCCTTGAGAGAACATGCAGAGTCTTCAACACATTGAACCCACCAGGCATGAAATGGAGGGCCTGATGCTAAACCACCTATTTACTATCAAATAGGTCCACGATTAGGAGCATCCCCCATGCCACGGGACATCTGCTCCCAGTGCTGGATCCCAGGAGCACTGGCAAGGGTCACAGCAGCACTGGGAGCAGCGAGGAAAAGCGAAGGTGTGTCACCTGCTCCAGGCTGGAGGGTAAGGGCCCGGGAACGCAGACGCTGGAGTTCGAAGCCCACCGGTACGATGCTGCGGGTCAAACCCTGACACAGGTTGCCCAGGCAGGCGGCGAGGCCTCCACCCACAGAGGGATCGGAAACCCGATGGGGCACAGTCCGGAACAAACTGACCCTCCTCGAGCAGGGGCCTTGGAGAGGGTGACCACCTAGCCGAGCGGGGATTCCCTGCAGGCACAAGACCACACGCCATTGCTACCCACGCCAGCCGGGTGCTGGATTTACCTTCCAAGGAAGGCACACGAGTCAGTACCACTGCCTGGGATCTGCTAGAAATTCCCCAAAACCACCAAAAGCTACTTTTGGGATGTATTTTGGAAGCACTGGTTATTGTCCCTAAACGAACAGACGAAGGCTGGGAGGAACACCAACAGCAGTAAGGTAGCCCTTTACCCAGCCGTCTGCTTAGCTGCTGCCAGCTGCCTGATGTGCAAGAGGAAGAGGGTTCAAGAGGGGGATCTGAAGGGAACTGCATTTAAGAGCACCCTATTTCAGTGTCTTTCATGTCTGACAAGCTCAATCCTAGTTTCACGTGTGCGTACACTGCAAGACGACAAACACCCTTTTCTGTTACTACTGTAAAGGGTTTGACAGCCCCCTGCATGCAGGTTTAACCCTCAAACACCAAGCCTGCTCAGAGCTGCACCAGCTGTCCAGCCTGGGGCAAAGGACACCCCGCAGCGGGTTCATTCTGCTGGTGCCCCCCGATTCCTCTCACACACAAACATACTATTCTCCTCCTTCCCTCACGTCCGCCGAAAGCCAGTGCTTCGACGTCTTCCAGCTGACTTCCTGTCACAGTTCCATACTTGCTCTTAAATACGGACTGACAGCATGTCATTTTTCCAGAGCTGCTAACACGGACACTGCGAGACTCGGATCCCCACATCTTGTTTTCACGGAGCACCCCCTTTTCCCACGTACTCCCCACTTCTGACCTCGTAAACCCGGCGAAGACACCGACCAAGCCTGACGTGCTAGCACTCGGACAGAAGCTGGTTTCTCTAACAAAGCACGGCCCCGCAGTGGTTCACTTACTGAGACGATCCCTCTGCTACTCTGGTCTCATGACAAACCAGTGGGTTTGCAATCGTCCTTACTCCTGAACAGCATTCCTTCCAGGACACCTGAGCAGTTAAGATGTAACTGCTAGTCTGCCAGGCAAACCTTCCCAAAGCCACGCTGTCTTGCCTTCGTTATAATTACTGACTCA